TTAGATTGATAACTCAGGAACATCCTAGCAAGTATAAGTGGAAAATAATCATTCTGATATAAATGTTTATAAGGTAGAGAATACTTTAAGAGAAAACTGTTTTTTTTCTTTATGGAAGACATAAAAATGGAGCTATTTAAAAAAATTTCTCAGAAACAGTGTATTGATTAGATATATAATCAGTATACTGATTAGATATATAAAAATTACACAATTTTATCTGAAATATGCTTTCTAAAAGTACATTTATATACCTCATCACTCTTGATTACGTTAACTGGAGTTAATAATGAGAAAACCATATTTAATTAGTATTTTGGAAATAACAGTGGTATTAATTTTATGTTAGTTAAAAGTATATTTACATAATTATTCTCTAATCATGATCTTACCATACTGGAATATGACTTAATATTACATATGAGCTTTCACTTTTTAAATTATGTTCCTATTCATGTTGAATTCATTTTTTATTTGATCTCAGATACATGAAAAGCATTGAAACTACCAGTTTTTTATGCTAATTTTATACCAATAATGAAGCAATATGGTATTAATAAAGGTAAATTGTTTTAGAAATTAAGGTACTCTGTAAATAGGTAATATTGTTTTTGAAATTTAGGACATTTGTAACCAATATAGTGAAGTCCTGCACTTAAGATAAAATTTTCTCTTTCACAGTGTGAAAGCTTACAGAAAAAATGTTTTGGCGAAATGTGTAAGTATCTATATTCTAGTTACTAACAGCATTTCATTAATTTAAAGTCAAAGAAGTTTAAAACATATTTACGTGTGGCTTACCAGTGTCCATTCTTTTTTCATGTTCAAGTTTTCTGCATAATATAAATTTTATCTTTACTAATAGCTTACTGATATTGATCACATTCCTAAGTATTTTTTGTCATTGTATTCATAAACATTGCCTTACCGTGATACTTATGTAAGTACCTTATATAAGCATTTTCTAACAGCTAAGATTTTGTTGATTTATGAGGAAGGATTCTGAAGACAGTGGCTGTGTGTTAGTATGGGATTTAGACTGTCACCTCTTTCATATTGCTTTGCTGAGTTTGTTGTCTCATCTAAAATTTATGAATTTATACTAAGAAAATGAAATATTTTCTCAAAATTGTTTAGGAAAGGGACTAACATCTTTATGTCGTCTAGTTTAAGCTGTAGTTAGTTATGCAATCAAAATTTAAAGCTGTGAGTCAGGATACAGCTAATCCTTTCTTCACATCCATAATGTAGGAGCATAGTAGCTATCCTTAGGGTTCTTCATTTCCATTCAAAAATAGATAAAAGTGGTTATTTTTTGAGGAAGTAATCTGAGTAGTAATAGAGGAGGAAATTTGCAGATTTCTGCCTCAGGGATAAACATAAAGTAGTTTTAACAGAGCAATTGTATATTTCTATAAGTGGTTTAGACTTGTAAACTTTTCAAAAATATTTTTCAGTATGGTGGCGATATTACTCGAAAAATGAAACTTCTGAAGAGACAAGCAGAAGGAAAGAAAAAAATGAGGAAAATTGGCAATATTGAAGTTCCCAAAGATGCTTTCATAAAAGTTCTGAAAACACAACCTGATAAATAATTGGTGGGAAAATACAGTGCATTTTCATAAATATTATGCATCCACTGATTTTTTTATAGTAATTTGCATGTTGACAACAGTATGAAAATTATAAGAAAGGTTCACTGTCACTGTCCTCCCGTTGTTTATCAGTTTACTTGAGCGGGCCCAGTAATGTCTCCATTTTGAGACTTGTCGTTACTGTGTTTGGCATATCGAATACGTCACGATAGCTTGCCAGGCTTTACCATGTGGGCGAGATACTCTTGGTAGCTTGCCGGGCTCTTCGAGAGGGGCGGAGAGATTGAACCCAGGTCGGTTGGGTCAGCCGCGTGCAAGGCAAACGCCCTACCGCTATGGTATCGCTCTGGCCCTCAGTGGTATAAGAAAGTTTTGGTTTTTAGATTTAAATTAACTTCTATTGAAAGATGGTTTAGAAATGATTAGGAGTTTGAACTCTGAAGCCATAGTGTCTGGTTCCAAATGTCTATTCTGCAGCTGTCTAGTAAGGAGACCCTGACAATATTTGCTTACCTTTCTATTAGTAGAATTGGATTATGCTATTTCTTTTGTTTCTTGTTTGGGGTCCACACCTGGCTATACTCAGAACTTACTCCTGGTTCTGTGCTCTGGGATCATTCCTGGCATGGTTGGGGCACTTTGCAAGAAAAGCAAACAACTCACTGTATCATCTCTCTAGTCTGGGTATTTCTTATGTCCATTAAGTTATGGAGAAAAAAATAAGACATGTTTCTAATACTTGAGTCCATGACACAGGAATTGTTTGGTGAATCTTTATTTGTTCTTGTGCATTTTTCCCCCCTTACATTGAAAAGCATCACATTTAGGATCCTAAATTTAAATGGTAATAAATTTAGATTCTCATAGATTAGTTATTAAAGTGAAGTGGTTTTTGATAAATTTTTGCAGGGCCGTACCTTATACTCCAGGGACCCTGGTGTTTTCAGTCATGCTTGGCCTGGTTTGGGTCAGCAGTGCTGGGAAAAGAGGGACACACAGTGATGGGGACTGAACTAATGCCTCACTCATGCTAGGCATGAGTTCTTTCCTAGCGATGAGAAACATAAGACCCTGATTTCATTCCTGGCACCAAATGTCCCACTCCAAGCATCGCTTGATCTGGCCCTGGTTGCTGCTGCTGGTTGTACATCAACAGATGTGACTTTTTGGCACCCAGTGCTGGAGGTGGCTCTGTAATAATTACAAAACACAGTGGGGTGCAGATGTTTCCCAGTTAAATTTAGGAGGGCTATCTTCTGAAACTGTCTATGAGTATTAGGTCTTTGACATTCCTAACGGCTGTTTGATTACAATTCTTTAACGTCACACCCAGTGATTTTCAGGGCTCACTCCTGGTGGGACTCGGGGGACCATATGGGGTGCCTGAGAATCAAACTCGGGTCAGCTGCATACAAGGCAACCACCCTGCACACTCTACACTCCAGCCCTGTTAATTACAGTTAATGATTATTTTATTTCATAATTAGGAGACTGAGCTCTAGCAGTTATGTAACTTAGTTGAGGTCACACAGCCCATAAGTCACTTTCACCAAAGCAGGTGTTCTGAGCTAGCCAAACCAGATTTTAGAGTGTACTACAGGAAGATGCTCTAAGTTAGATACTGATTTTTGTCTTTTACTTTGAATACAGTGAATGGAGTATTTTTAGACTAAAGTTATTATAAAATTAGAAATGAAGATTTACTTATAAGTATGTATAGAAAGATAGCCACCTATAATGTAGATCTGTTTTATTTAAATAAGCAACTATTTTCCTCTCTTCTAGCGCTAATAGAAGAGATGAAATTTAAGACTCTATGGCAATAGTATTTTGGTTAGTGACAGTATATTTGAAAATGGGGAAGTATCTTAATATTGTTACTAAAAATTTTTTATATGACTAGTCATACCAAAGGATGTTAAAAGTTTGCAGTTTCACACATAATGTTATCTACTTTAGAGTATTTGTGTATTGTTAATATGCTTGCAATTAGAGAAATTTTTTCCGTTTTAAAAAATCTGTTTTGTGTATGGGACACACCTATCTGTGCTCAGGGTCACTCCCGACAGTGCTTGGGAGATGCCATATGATAGGAGGCATTGTAACGTGTGTCACATGCAAAGTAAATACCCACCTACTGTACTACTGGCTTGGTCCCAGAAACTTAATTCTTTTAAACTAATTCTGTAGGAAATAGTGTGACTTGCAGTACACAGTACACAAAGGTATTTTTCCAAATCTTCAACATAAATGTAAGTTCTCTGCCCCGGCTATTCTCCCAATAGATTTTCATGATTTACAAATTGTATTCCTTCAATATATATCCCCCAGAGAAAATTAGCTTAAGGGTTTTCTACTAATACTGTATACCTGTGAGTATTAGAATAGCCACTGTTGAGTCTAATATGTGGCGGCTAATTGTCCTGAGGCATTTCCTCATTCCAGCTACACAACAACTAAGACACAGATACACTTAATATTCCATTTTAATAAATGGGGACACCTAGATTTACTCTGTAAGATCAATGTTACTGGCAGAACTAGGAGTAAAATACTGGTTTATTTCTGCAAATCCTAATTCATAGCTATGTGAAGTTCTCCAAGCTTCTCAATCATTTGCAAATCCTAATTCATAACTATGTGAAGTTCTCCAAGCTTCTCAATCATTTGCAAATCCTAATTCATAACTATGTGAAGTTCTCCAAGCTTCTCAATTATTTGCTTAACAATTATATTCTAAGCTAGAATGCTAAACTTACCAGAAAAATAGAAAAACTTTAATATGTGGACCTAAACTAAGGTTTACTTACTTGCTTCCTAGTGTCAAGAACAGAGAGAGATACGTGATCTTGTAAACCCTATTTCACTTAGCATTGAAAGCACAAACTGGTCAGCTATGAACAAAAATAGCTTGGCTCTTTGTCTCTGATCTATGACATGCTAAAGGAAGGTAGTCTGCAATAACCAGTATTTAATTCCAAGAATTGACTGGAAGATGATGCTGGTTCACTAGCCTAAAAACCATTCCTAATAGTGATTTGTTGCACCATCAACATACGCTGTTAACGTAACATGCTTTATCCTAAACAACTGCATTTATTTTCTTGAGTTAGCAGGTGGGGCTTCCAAGCAGTTGCTCCAGGATTCTGAGGGCCCCAATGATTCTTGGCCACCTGGGCCAACAGCTCAATACAAGGGCCAAAGGATGCATTGCTGCATCACCTGGGAGAGGCCAAAGGGACAGGGGACCTTATGCTGTGAATTGGATCTGGGGTCTATGAAACCTTAACCCAACTCACCATCTTCTGCCTTGCTGAAGTATTTATGTTTAAAATCATCTTTCACAAACACTCCTACCTGCTTATACCAGATAGCTTAAAAGACGCTGAGGAAAGGAGAATACTGTTTAACCCTCCTGTTGAACAAGACTGAGAATTTATGGGCATTATGTCCTTAGAGAAAACCAATTATACTATAGCATCAAACAAAAGATAAATGCAGACACAGCTACCAAAATAACTGTTGTGATCTCTCCGATGCATGTAATCTTCAATTTCTGGAAATAAAATGTAGATAACTTAATTTTTTATTAATAAGCTTTATTTGAGTTAAAGATAGTAAACAATGTACTTTTATTTGCAATTTAATGATGCAAATTATTGCAATTTAAAATAGTTTACAGTAATTAGTTTAATATGACTAAATCATTTTATCTTTATATATAAGGAATAAAGCTAGTCATTTATGAGATTTAACAATAATTTGAAAATTTTCTATGGAATTTCCCTCAAGTGAATTACTAGTTATAAAGCTCATTATTGCCAAAATATTTCTTTTAAGAGCAATAACCCAAGTCATTAAATGAAAATAAGCACATTTATAAAAAAGTGCTAGAGAAGAATGTGCACAGAAAACATGCACATATACATACTTTCCAAAAGAACATAAACTGTACTTTTAGGCACTGTCTTCTCTTAATTCTGTATACAACAATCTATAGGAGGACTTTCAATGTCCATGTGCTATTGCAGAAGATGATTAAGGCAACCACGTGCAGAAAGCCTATGTGAAATGCACACAAGATATACTAGTGTTCCAAAACTAAAGGTTTGCTATGATAGTTTGGTTCCCGAAGGGCCTTGGAGTGTCTTCATATGATTAAGAAACAGATTTAAGAATGTCACTACAATAATGAATGGTACATAAAGAATCTTTACCTTAAAATGAGTCTTTAAATTTTAAACAGGCGGATATTTCATCTCTATCATGTTTTATAGGGTAGTTATGTGATTTCATTCGATAAAGAGATGATTAGTTGAGAAAGCCACTGACTTCTAAACCTTAGTATAAAATGGACAATTTCCAAATGTGGAATGTTTTAACAAAAAGATGTTGGAAGCCAAAAACTGACAATCTTAAAAAAACTCCCAAGTTTTATCATATTGCATAGCTGAAAATTCATTTCCTACTTATGAAATTGTTCTGTTCATTCAAGCAGAATTTTGCTCCAATCTCCTTCAATTTCCTTCTTTCATACTGTATAGTGGATCCACAAGTTTATTGTGCACATGCATTAAACCTTAAAGAAAAAAAGCAAAGTTCTAGTTGTATTGTTGTTTTGAATTATCATTTACTTTAGAAAGCAAAAGATTTTATGACAGTATTTCGGTTCCCATCTGATATAGTCTAGTGGTTTAAAAATGCTTTAGAATGTTTAGTTTCACCTACTGAAGAAACATTTAATAATTTTTTATGGAACTATAGACATAAAATATGGACATTTTTTTCTGGGAATAATCAAAAGTAGGAGCAGTTCTTGTATGCAGGAGCTTCAATGTAAGAGAACAAATTTGATAATGACTTGGCGAGCACATTTTAATCACATCTAAAATAAATTATAATTGGTACACTTATAAACTGTTCTTAATGGAGCTCAATGGGGAAAAAAAAACAACTTGTTTTCCTGTTACCCGGGTCTTAATGTATGTTATGCATGAGAGATAAAAAGCCAAAGATTTTCTTATTTTGAAATGTGGTCAGGTAAAGAGCATGAAGACTGGGGAAACTGAATCAGTGTGGTTTCTTAGAAATGAGATTATTGGATTGGGAGAGCCAAGGTTTTTGTAATAAGCCTATGTTGTCTAAGATTTCACACACACTCTAAAATCCAAAATGGAGATCTGCTTACCAGATAGGAGCAAAGAGCACTGAGAAATGTTCATGTCTCATGAGAAAAACTAGAAGTTGAAGAATCTTAGAATGCTAATACACGAAATCACTTTATCAGCATCCCAGAATTAATGTTCATTTTAAAACTGTTTCTTTTGAAAATCTGGTTTATGTTACCATCCTTAAACTAGCTGATTATCAGGGTAAACTATTATTCTCTTAGGTTTTTTCCTTCTAATTCTGCAACAAAGTTAGCATTACTTTCAAAACATAATCCAGACTATCAGTTCTTCATGCCAGACTTCTGTGAACTGACTACTTCCAACTTAAAACATGACTTTAATTTTCTTCTCCCTATTCTAACATACAATTTATGCAGCAGTTCTTACTACTGCCTCTGCTCTGGGATCTCTCCTGCTAGGATTTGGGGATCGAACCTGGGTGTGAAAGGCAAGTGCTCTACCTGCTACAGTTGATCTCTCCAGCCCCTTATCTACACATCTCCTCTGCCACCCACAAATTACCAAGAGTACGTACTGAGAAAACTAGATGCCAAATAATGCACTAAACAAAAAGGAAAAACCCCTGCCCCTCATCTAACTTTTTAAAATAGAATATATTGGGGCTGGAGAGATAGCACAGCGGGTAGGGCGTTTGCCTTGCACGCGGCCGACCCACGTTCGATTCCCAGCATCCCATATAGTCCCCTGAGCACCGCCAGGAGTAACCCCTGTGCATCACCGGGTGTGACCCAAAAAGCAAAAAAAAAATAAATATATTTTATTTTCAGCCGATTACTTAAGTAATAAACCAACTTGTGACAAGTATCAGCTTTCAAGCAGATACTTCTTACACATTTTTTTACTTTTTCCATATAAAATACTATAGTAGAAGACATACTTTAATCCATATTTTTGACTACTGACACAAAAATACAATCTACATTTACCAAAAATACATATTAAGGGGTAATTTTAAAGGTACAAGTATACTTGCTAGTGGAAATGATTTACGACAATACCTCCAAGCAATCATATTGAAGACAGGATTATGTCATCCCTATGATGTAGAAGATGTTATCTCCTAGAAGCTTTTCCCAGAGTGATATTGCCCTCTGTAAGCGCTGAACACTTAGAAGGGTTAAAATAATCTTAGTGCAACCAGGAGGTGGGTGAGACACTTTCTGTTCACTTAAGGAAGGTAAATTTCCAAGGCAACACTAGTTAAGTGATATATTTTCCTGAAAAGGATTGGTAGGTCAAATAAGTTTGGGAATCTCTCGTAGAGAGCACCTTTGAGAGAATCATTCTATCTGATACAGTACATCTTCCAAAAGCTCTTTGATCATGGAAAACATAACAATTTTAAATCATACACATTTTTTTAAAAAATAAGATAAACATTAAAAATTCAACTCCTTTATAAATTTTTTTTTAAAAAAATGATACATTGGCTTTAACTTTTATATGCAAGGCTATTTCAAGCTACAGATTCTTTTTTAAGTATTTTTAAAACAAAGACTGATACCCTGAACGTCTTCAGAAAAAAATACAGAAAAAAGCATATTCCATCTACAAACTGGAAAATATAATGTCTCCAAAGAAGGAAATGGAGCAATACTTTCATGAATAGCTTGTAAGTCAAAGTGTTTTATAAGCGCTAATAACGTGTGTGTGTACTAAATAAATACACTTTCTATTTATTTTCTTCTGTTTATATCCTTTTGGAAATTATGACTACAGGGGGGAAAAGGATGACATATTATTTCCTAGCCTGAGAGTAATATACCTCTCTGAGGAAGTATAACTTCAAGGACCAAAGCACAGAAACCAGTTAAGCCTAATTTCAGTTACTCAGCTCTGCCCACATATTGGCTGTGTGACTGGATAAGTAATTTAACATCTCTATAAAACTTGTTGACTTATTCACAATTACAAAATATAATAACAAAAGTACCTACTTTACAGAATTATGAAAAATCAGTAACTACAGTGGCAGATTATTGGCTCTTTTATTTGCTACCTATGTTTCACTAAAAATAAGCAATGGACAACATTTACGAAAAATAAGCAATGGAGGGAATAAGCAATGGACAAAGACAAGAACAGGAAGCAAACTCAAAGAGCAAGAGTACATGCCTCACATAAGGCCTCAAGTTTGGTCCCTAGGACTACATGATGCCTCACACAACATCAGGTGTAACCATGGAGGCCCCTGAGTAGTGCTGGATGAGCCCCTGGTTGCCCCCACCACTTCTGGGCCCACGCAGCATTGTGTGTGAGGCCTGGATGGGAAAGTATCCCTGAGAGTGGTGCCACACAGTTCCCTGAACATTGCCTGGAGCCCCTCCCCATAAGTCCAGAAGCAGACATTACAGAGGCTTAGCCAAGGATCGCTGGAACAAGAAAATGGTACTGTCAAATAGATCTCCTCAACACTGGTATGAAACTGTACATGAGTATTCCCCTTATGAGCTTTGTAAAAACATGAATGGTTGTGATAAATCCAAAGGCCTGCATGGAAATGCAGGGGTAAAACTCCATTACAAGATCTGTCTCACTCAGAGCTATCTCCAAGAGACACTCCATTTTCATCTCTCAAATTAATCAGAAGCTAATAGTGTTTTAGTTTCACTTGGTGTATTTATGACTTGGTAAGTAAAAAGCTATTAATTTGGGTGATTTTTTGCGGGGGTGGGGGAGTTTGGGGACATACCCAGATTGTTCTTTCTGGGGTTAATCCTTGGCAGGCTCCAGAGAACCTGGGCTGACTTTGGGCAATGGAAGTATAACTTACCTACTGTATTGTCTAAACACTTCAGTTTAAGACATAATAGATACAGGGAAAAAGGTGCCTTAGAGGCAATAAAACATGGCAAATTTTTTTTACCTTTATCTATCATAAATGTCCATGAAAAACAAGGTTGATTCAATATAGCTTCTCTAATGTGTGTTACATATTAAAGTAAAAATGTTAAATATTCACTTGCCTATTACCAATAGGATATACACTATATATTTTGTAGTAACCTACCTGCATTATAACCAATTGATAATACTTTGATGCCAGCTATATTAATGGATGATTTATAAAAAAATATTTAAAATGTGTGTACTTATATTTAGTTAGTGTTGACTCAAAAGCAGGGAATGGCTTTTTAAATTGAATGTACTAAATTTACCTGGAAATTCTCCTGAAACACCCATTACATCAGCTATATGTAGTTTTATATACACAACCAGTACTAAGATTTAAGAACTATTGAACTAGACCACAGTAAGAAATGAAAGGGAAAAATATATACAGAAGGCTGGAAAATCAAACATCTCATTACTTGAAGTAATTTCTGTGTATTTTGACATCTAGCCATTTAAAACTTCAGTATGTGCAAGAATTTGCTCAAAATTGTAGATTAACTGAAAAACTGGGAGAAAACATACACTGAGTAGGCTCTAAACCTATAGCTTAGGGAAAGTCTGGCCAGGTAAGCTATAATTAGAAAATCAGAAAGGTTATTTATATAACCTTAAATATTGACCCTTTATTTTACCTTTATTGAATTTATTTAACCCTTAAATATTAAATATGAAAGTAATATATTAAAATTTTAAATTCCAAGAAAAATCTTATTTAGTGGAAATATAGATAAAAGAAACTCTCTTCGTTAAAAAAGGAATGAACTTTGGAGGTAACTATTGTCTGAGTTGAGGCATTTCAGTTCCTTGAAAGACCAGGCTACTCATGCGTCTGTGCAAGGCCAATCTTCAACAGGCCACAGTGGACATATTAACATCTTAGTGGACTTAACTTTCCACCATCAACTTCAGATCTACAGTGGAACATTCTCATGTTCTGCATCTGAAATTTTAATGCTCACCTTTAAAGTATTTCACAGTTTTAACTCTTAGTTCTAAAGTGGCATCTTCATCACACACAAAAATCGTTCGGGGATGCTGCTGAAAAGCGGAAACAGTCCACATGTGATTGACTCCTTCTTCTATTGCTTTGTAGAGGGCAAAGGCCTTATGTGCACCTGTTATGAGGATCATAACCTGAAAAATCATGACATCGCTTGTTAATAATAGATAAAATACACTTCGACTGACAAAGAATCTTGTTGGTGTGTTTTTGACCACACCTGTCTGTACTCAGGGCTTACTCCTGGCTCTGTGCTCAGAGATCACTTCTGTTGGGGATCTTGGGACTACACGTGTTGCCAGGAGCCAACATAGGTTGACCACATGCAAGCTAAGTGCCCTACCTGCTCTACTATCCTTCTGGTGCCCAAAATCTTTAAAAAAAAAGAAAAATGAAACAAGCACCATTATCATTTAAGATTATAATAAAATACATCTTTCTGTTTCTTTACGGTCTGAAGAATTTTTTGCTACTTTTTCAGGCAATAGCAGCAAAAAAGTGAATATTTTCTGAATTTAGGTAAAAATTACCTCTTGTGGTATAGTATTGTGTTGTGGTATAGTGTAGTTTCTTGTGTCACTGTCACTTCTGTCCCGTTGTTCATCGATTTGCTCAAGCGGGCCCAGTAACATATCTATTGGAGACTTTGTTGTTACTGTGTTTGGCATATCGAATACATCACGGGTAGCTTGCCAGGCTCTGCCATGCGGGCAAGATACTCTCGGTAGCTTGCTGGGCTCTCCGAGAGGGGCGGAGGAATCGAACTCGGGTTGGCCATGTTGGCTGAGTGCAAGGCAAATGCCCTACTGCTGTGCTATTGCTCCAGCCCACCTTCTTGTGTATTATTATGTTAATACACTGTAATAGCTGTAAGTAAGCAGATTAAACAGTGATGCACAAAGACTTTAGAGGGGGCAGAGAGAGTACAGTGGCTAACGTGCTTGCCTTGCATGCAGCCGACCCAGGAGCCAAGCCAGAAGAGATCCCTGAGCACAGGGCTGGGAGCAAGCCCTGAGCACTGCTGACTGTGGCCCTAAAACAACAAATTATTTCCTGCGCAATTCAGCATTGAGAGATACTTTTTAAAAATGTACAGTGGTAGTTTTTAGATGAAAAATGCCATTTGAACAGAAATTCTACTTGTGCATGTTCAAGTCTAGATATGTTGCTGCCAAGATCAGTTACTGCACCTTGCCTGTACTTTCTTCAGAACCTGTCATCCTGTTGAAAGACAGGAATGGAAGTTCAGGTCTCCATATAATTAAAACACTTCTAATCACAAGAAGACTATTAAGCTATTCTGTCATTTTTCATGGAAGGAAAAGGCTGCCCAAGTGAAAATGCAAGGATTTGGTGGGGTTTAACAAATTGAGAAAATACTCAACCCAATGTAATTCCAAAAGTGGTATAGTGTTAGCTGGCACTGAAACTTTGTCCCAATCGTCTCCAAATAGTATTCATATAAAAACAGACCAGGGCCAGAGAGATAGTACAGCTGGTGGGATGTTCATCTTGCACATGGCTGACCCAGCTTTGGTCCCCAGCACTGCATACAGTCCCCCAACCACCACCACGAGTGATGCCTGAGCGCAGAAACAAGTTGAAGCCTTGAGCACAGCTGGGTGTGGCTCAAAAACCAGATGAAACCAAACCAACAAAGATGGATCACAAAAATCATTATATCCCCGGGTCTCAAACTACATAGTAGAAATAGGCATGTGAAGCAATACCCACAAAAGGGATTACTTCTTAGATTTCCAAAAGCAGTTGAATATTCAATATATCAATGAATGACTGGGGTTACCATGACTAGGAAATTAGTTCTATTATGAGTAGATAGATATACTAATGGCACTAATTCAGAACATTAATTCCCCTGAAATCAACAAACACCAGGGAAGAAAGTCAAAGAACATTTCATTCTTACTTCTCTGGCATCCATTACTGTCCCCACACCAACTGTAAGAGCCATAGTTGGCACCTTCGACAAATCTCCATCAAAATATTTTGCATTGGCCAAAATGGTGTCCATTGCTAGAGTTTTTAATCTTGTCCTTGAAACTAAACTGGATCCTGGCTCATTGAAAGCGATATGGCCATCTGGACCTATTCCTTTTGAAAGAAATACACACACATATGTACACACATAAATACAAAGTAAATAGTGTATCTCAGATCATGTTTCTCAAAGGCAGCACATTTTTACAAATAAGTAGTAAAGCATACTTACTTTATTTTTATTAGATAGCTGATTTTATAAATGCAGTACATTTGTATTTTTTGTATTTGATTCAGCAAGTTTTTCAAGGATTTCCATACACTTAGGCACTGAACTATAGCTTGCATTTCACTTTACATTAAAATACATTTTACAGTTTTAAAGTAATTTTACATGCATCATCTCAACTAGTCAACAACCCAGTGAGATTAAAAACTAAGTATATCTATTTCCCACCATTTTTAAAATTAAAAGATGCAAATCTTGATCTTCTGATCTCTAGCCTAATTATCTTCATACTTACACGTTAAAATGTTTGGCTCTCCTCTAGGTTGGGTAAGGAAATAGTGGGTCTCCCCGTGGTATCCCGTATTATAGTTTCTTCACTAACAAAAATGCAAAAATATCTAAATTGGACGAAATACAATCGAGGGCAACAGTTCTTTTCAGACACTTTTCACTGAACTCTATTAGAAGAAACGTTTGAAATTCCAACCTAGTACACATCTACGCATTAAGTACAGTAAAAGCAAGAATGGCATGGAATAATACCCTTATTAGAAGCCATACAAGTTACTTTCAATTAATACATTCCATTTCATTAACAAAACACACAAAAAGAAAATGCTGTACGTAACAGACTACATTGATTTTGTGACCTAATAATGGGTGATAACCACAATCTCAAAACTGCTTTAAGGAGACCTACTGCTGGCGCTAACATTCTAGGATTGCCTGTAAGATACAGATAAGAATATGACAGTCTGTATTTGAAGGAAAGTGGAGGCAAATTATTTCATAAAGTGAAGAATCATTCCATGACATAATTCAAGTTTCATATTCATGTACACTATTGGTAAAATTTCTAAATTATTTGGTCAAAATATTATTACATTTGTATTTTGCCTATTTGCTTTGATAACATGTACTCTCAACAATGATTGAGTCTCATTTTATCTGCTCTACAATAAGGTCAACTGTGACGAAGAGTAGCATGGTTTTGAAAAATCTGAGATGAAATGAAATCCTCTGGAAGCAGATATAAACTACCAATGCATAACCATCTGTGATTTTTTTCAATGCAGGAATTTAAAAGCAGAACTACATGTGGGCCACATGTGGAGACTGTTCCCACTATTAAGTATGTATTGCTTGTTGAGTTTTACAAGAAAGATAAAAATTTCTCTCTGAATGTATGAAACTTCTGGTTTTCCTTAAGAATATATACTACTGCCTAAATATTTATATCTTTCTACATAGGAATGAAGGGGAAAGGATGGGACAAAGAAAATAAAAAAGTTTTAGAAAAAAAAACAGGAAGTGTACAAACAACAATACCAGTGGGCACACTTGTGCTCTCACTGGTGACCTAGGTCACATAAAAGAGCACAGCAAAACGGACATGGTCACTGTAATTCACTGTAGGAACGAGTCAATATACTCTTCCTTCACTGATCTTGAGTAGCAAAAATTGAAATTCCTGGTAGAAAGCCATATTTCTAAAATGTTTAGAATACCTTACAGCTTTATAAGACTTCTGAGTAATCTAAAGCTCCTTTAGATTTCTAAAGGAAATCTAGAAGCTACAGTCTGTTTATTCAGTGTCTTTATGTGTAATCCAAAGGTCAGCTGTTACAGGTGCACAAATCAGTGTGAAAAATGGTCACAAAACACTGGTCTATATGAACATGTCATCACCTTTATAAAACAAGTCCAATATTCAAGAGTTTGGTTCCCAAATTATGTGGGGCAAAATGTAAACTTGACTAGTGAGGACTTAATCTTTTTCATTACTGTCATTTTACCATGGAGAACAGCACCTGAGGCATAAAGGTTTTCAACAAGGAACAGCTGCCTGAAAGAATGGGTCGTTGGTGTTTGTTTGGGCATGTCTGGTGCTCACCGTAGTTTCTCCATCCTTCTATCTTGCTCAGCTACCCACAGAACAGGGGCCAGAAGAATCATTAAACTCTACTTCTGTGAGGCAAGGTAACCACAACTAAGGATAAGCAGTGGTCCCAAACTAAAACATAGATTTTTCTCTCTTGAAATTCCAAAATGCAGGAATTTCAGGAATGCAGGAATGCAGGAAGAAAGCAGATATCTGGAGTGAGGCATGTGGTGTTGGCACTGCAAGGAGGAAGACAATGAGCGCCTGTGCTGGAGATCTCAGGTTCCCTAGTTTTTGTGTGGACACTGGGCACTGGGCTGCTGCAATACTGCTATCAGTTCCTTGAATGGCCACACTCTTCCTAATTAACTCACTTTTAGTCCTATTAGCAGGTAACTGTTACCTACAAACAAAGGTGGAGGCTGGAGTTTTTGCCATTGTCTTTCCTTTATTATTATTCATATTCATTGTTTTATTTTTGCTTTATAAATAGAAAACTTTTAGAAACAAACTCTCTTGAAATCAACTTGAAAGCTAATTCCTTTAGAGTCTGTTTATAAAAACTGATGCTTTTGATTGTATTGCCACAGGTGGGTCAGACATAGCATAATGCACCTTTGTCTTTTACGCTTTTGCTATGAGAGGAAGAATGAGAACTTTCGGAGATATATGTGAGTGTGCGTGTGTGTGTGTGTGAGTGTGTATACACATATATGTGTGTGTATATGTACACACATATTCACATATATACATATATCTACATATCAGTATACCTATATACACCCAAATATATGTAATTCCTTCCCTTCACTTTTCTACTGAAGGAAAGGAACTCCTAGTGTATTCCTTCAGTATTTTCTCAGCAGTGAGCAACTGTGGATTAGTGTTCTAAGCACTTTTCATCCTATTATTTCTAATTCAGAGGAGAGGTACAGGAAACCCCGTTCTGGTCTCAAGCCCAATCTGCAATCTAATCCAACTTTACCTTTAATAAAGTTGATATTTTGATCCCATTTGGCTCAGTTCTTAATTTTTTTATTTTTAATTAACCAAACCCTAGAACAATAGAAGGGCAACTGCTAAGACCCAGAATCCAAGCCTCATGTTGAAAATCCAATGATTAACAATCCTAAATCAACAAAAGCAAAGAATCACACGAGATTCTTTCATGCCTACAGCATTCATTAATAAGTTGTCCCAATTAGGAAAGAGTTAAAAGAAAATCCTTGGGATGGTCAAATATGAAATAATGAGTCCCATGGTATTTAACTCATGGGTTCTTATGTAAGATCAAAAATGAACAGAAACAACCTGGAGCTATAGCACAACTAGGGCACTTGCCTCCCACAAAGCCAAACAGGTTCAATACCCAACAACAAATCTTCTTCAAGTCCTACAAGTAGTGATCCCCACGTGCAAACCCTGAGCATTGCCTGATGTGACCCTAGAACTAAAAATAGTAATAATTAACAGAAAAAATCTTCACAAGAGAAAGCAAAAAGATGGGGAGGAGAAAAATCAGGTAGTGCTCAGAATTTACACCAAGCCCTGTACTCAGGAATCACTCCTGATTGGAATGCACCAGGGACCATACAGGATATCATTGGTTAAACCAGCATCAACAGTATGCCAGGTAAGTGCCTTAAACCTTGTACTATTTCTCTGGACCTAAGAAAAATATTTTCCATGCAGCCATTTTCTGTAATGAACTCTATCTAAACTATGTACATTTTATATAATACTAAATATTACTTTTTTCTGTTAATTGTGAGGCTACAGCAGGCACGCTTTGGGGGACCACTGTGTTATAAATAGTTAGTGTATGATTACTAAATAGAAGTCATTCTAATTGATTGGATTAGATGCATGACAAGTGCATACCTTGAATATTCTGAAGTATCAAATTTTTTTGAACTTTCATAATGGTGGGTGCAAATAATAATTATCTCAGAACTGAGCCATACAGACAGAACTGGAATGGAAATATTTTCCAGAAACGCTGAAGTAATATTGGCAAGTTTTATTTAAAATAGATAAATTCCTATTTTGATAAAGCAAATTAGTCTAACTTGGATTCTTGTTCAGTTACATAACCACCCAATCTACACAATGATAGACTGTCAATTACGCTGGTTTTACACGGCATAGATAAAACTTTATCAGAGACAATATTTCAATCTTGCTGGACATCCTTATGAGGTAATTTGGGGTGAAAAAAATCCCAGAAAAGTGAATGAACTACACAACAGTCAATACTTCAGCACTTATAGATCTGAGACAATGAGAGGATTGATGCCTTCTTAATGAAGTATAAACTAGACACCAGCTACTGCTACAAAACACTTTACGTAAGTTACACTGCAGTTAAATTCTCACAGATTTTAGAATGGTCAATATTCTGTTTTTAAAATCTAATTTTTTTCAATTTTAAAAGTTCCTTTTTAAATAATTTTTTATTTTATAAAGTAAAATAAAATTTGATATGGTACAAAGTAGGAGACAACCAATTTAAGAGGGAAATAAATATATGTTTACAGATATGAATATAGTTATATAGCACACAAGCCTTGCTATATATATAGAGAGAGAGAGCACACAAGGCTCAACCTTTAACAACATGTAAGTGATCTCTTATAGAAGGGCTTAATGGCCCCTGGGTGAAATACAACAATCTCCACACTCTTTCCTCTAAGGATACTTAGAGGAAATAAGTTCATAATATTTCAGTACATTTAATATTCAAACACCAATCCCACCACCATTACACCTTCCCACCACCATATTTCAGATGTTTCCATCTCGAACCCCAATCCCTGCCCCAAAGCAGAACTGAAATAATATATTTTGTATTGTTTGTTATAAAAAAATGCTGAAAATGCTACCCAAAAAAGTATCCTTAGAAGAAAGAGTGTGGAGATTGTTGTATTTCACCCAGGGGCCATTAAGCCCTTCTATAAGAGATCACTTACATGTTGTTAAAGGTTGAGCCTTGTGTGCTCTCTCTCTCTCTATATATATAGCAAGGCTTGTGTGCTATATAACTATATTCATATCTGTAAACATATATTTATTTCCCTCTTAAATTGGTTGTCTCCTACTTTGTACCATATCAAATGTGGTGCAGTAATCTTGGAGTATGGGTAGGGTGTGTGGTTTGAAGTATTGCACGGCCAAAAATGCAGCCACATGGTTCGGGAATAGATTCACTCATGGGTGATGCTCTGCCCAATAATGAACTTCAGCATACTTCCCATGGGAAGTGAAAAACAAAAACAGGATGCAAATTTAAGTCTGACTTCAATATCCAACCACCTCCTCAAAAGCACGGGCTTCCTTAACCATAAATCAGATTCAGTGTAAATCCTTTGAAGATGTAATCTATGTGATTTTGAGCAATCTTAAAATGATTGTAAGATAGATCCAGAGAACTTAATGATAATTTAGAAAGGTTGTTTCCAAAGTGGATGATGTGGCCCCCAAGAAGTACTGGAGCACTAGAATAATTGGTGGTGATGTGTGGCAGGGTTGGGGGTGGGAGGGGTTCTGTAATTTCAGATACAATTGGGGCACTTTCTGTTTCTCACACAAAACCATTCTTGCTTTTAGAATATATAGATTCTAAAACTCTATCGATCACCTAAATTGTTTCATCTCACTGAAAATTGGATAAGAATCTATCATCAATCTTTAGTTAATCTGAATTAAGCTGCAGAATTCTTAATATGAAATCCAAAGTGAACAAGTACTTGAATAAATTTCAGTTGCAATTTATGTACACACCCAATATGGAATTTCATGTATGGGATATTTGCCTTCTCAGTAGATCAATCCCCAGAACCCAATAAGGTCCTCAAAGCCTGTCAAGAGCACAGAGCCAGGAGTAAGTCCTGAGTACCATAAGGTGTGGCCAAATTTTTTTTTAAAACAAAACAACAACAAAAAAACCCAAGTTGAAGTCTTAAGGGAATAGTAGAAGAATAATATTATTTAGAAAAAGAAACACATAACTTTTTTAAGACAAAAAACTAGATCCTAAAGATTATTAGAAAAGTTTTAACAGGGGCCTACTTCTCCAGACATAAACAATTCCAACTTTTATTCTTAAAATATTGTTTATTAAAAAAATTAATTCAGGGGCTGGAGCAATTGAACAGTGGGTAGAGTGTTTGCCTTGCATGTGGCTGACTTGGGTTGATCGCTGGCATTCTGGTTTTGCTCATCAGGAGTAAAACCTAAGTGCAGAGCTGAGAGTAACCTGAGCAGAGCATCACCAGGTGTGGCCCCAAAAAAAGGCAGGGGTGAGGTGGGGGGGTGAGTGAAATCGGAAATCAGTAGCTAAATAAATGGTTTAAAAAAAAATTAGCTTTGAGATCAGCACCAGGAGGATTACTCCATAACTTAGAGGCCAGCCGGGTATTCTAGGGGAAAGGGCAGTTCAGATAGAGAAGGGAGCACCAAATAAAGGGTGTTAGGAGGATCCTCCCAGGAGGGGAGATGCATGTCGAAAGTAGACTATGGACTGAACATGTTTGCCACTCAATGCCTCTTTTGCAGAACACAACACCCAAAACGAAAGAGAGAACACAGGGGATTGCCCTGCCACAGAGGCAGGGGGAGATGGGGGGATGGGGGTGGGGGGGATATTATCCATGGTGGTGGAAAATGGGCACTGGTGGAGGGATGGGTATCTGATCATTGTATAATCGAAACCCAAGCACAAAAAAGAGTAAATCTACAAAAAAAAAAAGAAAACTCAGTGAGTTCCCAAAGGAGTAGAACTAATAAAGACACAATGTGTGTGTTAATTTATATGCTATAATTGCTTTTGCTAGTCTCTGAATTAAATAATAATGAACATAAAAAAATTAGCTTCAAGACCTAAATCAAATATGAATAAAGATTAGTGTTTTACATACAAGTGTTTTACATACCTCCAACAAAAAGATCAATTCCTCCAGCTTCTTTTATTTTTTTTTCAAAAGCATCACATTCTGCTTGTAAATCTGTAGCATTCCCATCAAGTATATGAGCATTATTAGGATCTATATCAACATGCTTAAAAAAGTTATTCCACATATATGAATGGTAGCTTTCAGGATGATTTCTGGGAAGTCCTAAGTATAATGTTAAAAAATAAAAATGTAAATATTTCTAGAAATAATATGGCCGTTTACTTTCCTGATTCAGCCAGAAAAACTATGTAAATTATGTAAGTATTCCATATGTTATTTAAAGATGTTTATACGGAATAATGTTAATTAGATTCCAGGCACTATTTTAATTACTGGAGAGAATAGTGAATAGTTTGGCCCAAAGTAATGAATTATTTGTAAGTTGCAGAGCATGAAAGGAATACAGATCTTCTGATATATAGTTATTTAATTCTTCAACTATACTGATTTTAATTCTTCAACTATACTGATTTTAATAAAGACTGATTTTATATAACTTCAAACCTCAGGCTGGAGAGATAGTACAGGAGAAATATGCCTGCACTGCATGTGGCTGACTCAAATTTGATCCCCAACACTGCATAGAGTCAGCACCCTACTCCCCAATCCTGCCAGGAGTGACCACCGAACACAGAACCAGGAGGATTCCATGAGTACCACCAGGCATGTCCCCAAATTGGAAAAAAAAAAAAACCTTAAAGACCTCATCACAAAGTAGCATTTTATACTCTATGTATTCGTGTTATATTTAAAAATACAAGTTTAAGTTACATATTTACATTCTCAAAATATATTAATTTTAAATGCAAAACCTAGCACATAACATTTAAATAGAGCTTACCTACATATTCATCCATGTTAAAGGTCTTCACATATTTAAATGAGAGGTCTCCATTCTTATGAAATTCTATTAGTTTTTTATAACATCCTAAAGGCGTACTCCCTAAAACAAAAATGTCATTATGTAAAATAACTTTAAAATGTTTTTTTATAAAAGTAGATAACTAAATTTTCTTATAATATTCCACAGTCTTTAATCATTTGGCAAGCAATTTAAATACATATTCGATTAACAATTCTAAATTTAATTAGTCTCTTTAGAATATCTTATAATGCCACTAACCTAGAATTTGCTGAATAAAGCTGGAAATCAACCAAAAAGAATTATGATTTGGGTAACTATTCTAGGTGAAAATAAATCTGAGCGGTAGGTGAGACACAAAGAATACAGACTTTTTTTTTTTTTTTTTGCTTTTTGGGTCACACCCGGCAATGCACAGGGGCTACTCCTGGCTCTGCACTCAGGAATTACCCCTGGTGGTGCTCAGGGGACCATATGGGATGCTGGGAATCGAACCCGGGTTGGTCGCGTGCAAGGCAAACGTCCTATAGCTGTGCTATTGCTCCAGCCTGCACAGTGATTCAATTAAAATTATTTTTTAAAGCAATCTTTTTTCCAGAAATTTGTCATGTGTTCTATTGGTCACTACTAGTATCCAAAATATAGCGTAAACTATATCTCTAACATAAAAGTAGGTACTTTATTTTATTGTAGTTCTTTTTTTCCCCACACTCTGTGGTGCTCAGGGTAACTTCCTGATTCAGCACTCAAGGGCCACTCCTGGTAGGGTTCGGTGGACCATATGGGTTGCCAGGGATTGAATTTGGGTTAGCCATGAGTAAAACAAGAAACCTACTCATCATATTATCTCTCCAGCACTAACATAAAGATATGTTTAAAACTCAGATTGCTACATATTTAGAAGTGATTAAAGTAGTTAGCCTGAATATAGCCTGGGCATACACGGTATACAGCTTAATACCAAAGCCATTCTGAACAAGTGAAGCACACATATTGGAAACTGTCACTGCCACTGTCCTCCTGTTGTTCATCGAGTTGCTCGAGTGGGCCCAGTAACGTCTCCATTGTGACAACTGTTACTGTGTTTGGCATATCGAATACTTCACCGGTAGCTTGCCGGGCTCTCTGAGAGGTGGAGGAATCAAACTCGGGTCGGCCATGTTGTTCACTTGCAAGACAAACACCCTACCCGCTGTGCTATGGCTCCAGCCCATTGGAAACTGCATTTTTTAAATTTATTTATTTATTTATTTTGCTTTTTGGGTCAACTCGGCAATGTACAAGGGTTACTCCTGGCTCTGCACTCAGGAATTACTCCTGGCAGTGCTCAGGGGATCATATGGGATGCTGGGAACTGAAAGGGTTGGCTGCATGCAAGGCAAATGCCCTACCCTCTGTACTATCACTCCAGCCCCTGGAAACTGCATTCTTATCTTAAGTACAATACATTTTTGAAAACAACTTTGTTATTGTCACTAAATCCACTAATCTGGACTTAAAAACAAAAAGCAAAACATTAAATATCCCCTTGGTGAGCTACGAAGACTTCTTTCTTCTCTCTCTCTCTCTCTCTCTCTCTCTCTCTCTCTCTCTCTCTCTCTCTCTCTCTCTCTCTCTCTCCTCTCTGTGCATATGTGTGTTTCTAGGATTCAAATCCCTGAGCCTTCCACCTGTAAGTCATGTGCCTTACTGCTGAACCACACAAGTGTAAGAATGCATTTCATGCAAATGGAAAATATTATCATTAAAGGTTTTATGATGTTGGGAATTATTGAGGGAGGAACAAGAGAAAAGTCTGTTGAAATAAAAACTTAAATATACAGATTTATTTAGGTCTGGAGAGATAGTACAGGGGTAAAGGAAAGCACGTACCTTGCATAGCTGACCTGGGTTCCATACCCAGCACTACATGGTCCCTGAGAACTGCCATGTATGATCTATAAATAACACTCCCCCTAATTTTTATGTAGTGTTTACAGTCACCTGCCCCCACGCCTGGCTAGTCCTCGTAGGGGCCCCTTGGAGGGGAGCAGGTTGAGCTTTCCTCCCCGCACACCCCCCCCCGACCAGGGCCCCGGCAGCCGAAGACCTCCAGGACCAGCCACCACCATGCTGAGACCACTCTCCGCACACCTGAAGGTACAGGCAGAGGGACAAAGCCACATGGGTTCCGGGGCCGAGATCTCCAAGCCTACTCGGATTGGAGTCGAGCATCCTCCACCCAGATCCTCCAAATTCCAGTAGGCAGGGGTCACACCCACCAACTGGCCCCCTGGTGCCGTGTAATCCCATCAGCGGCCAAGGCTCTAAGACTATAAGAACCAGCTCCCGGAACCGCGCAGCCGCAAATGCTGCATCTTATTATGACATCTCATTCCTAGTTTGACAAACTGGCAGGCTACCGAATGTAGCCTGCCCACACGGCAGAGTCTGGCAAACTCTCCGTGGCGTACCCAATATGCCAAATACCAGTAACAATGATGGGTCTCATTCTCCTAAAGAGCCTTGAATATAAACTCAGGGCTAGGATGAAGGAGACGTTACTGGGGCCTGCTCGAGGCAATCGACGAATAACAGGATGATTTGTGATTGTGACTGTATAAAAATAACTCAAAAGAATACCATCCTGTTTGAGCCTCAAAACAGCCTGTGATCTATCATAATCCTTATTTTTCTAAAACATAAGGAAACCAAGGGTTAGGAATACAGAATGTCTTTAGGTTGCCAAGAAAGTGGCCAGGTCCAATTCCAGTCAATATTCTTTCTGTGGAAGTCAACAATATCACATAAAATGCCACTAAGCATTCACAGTTATTTTGTAAGAGAGTCCTTTATCATAGAGAACTAAATCCAGTCAAACATAATAGTTACAGTCTATTCTGTCAGTATAAATATCCGTCTTCAAATTTTTTTCATGAAGAATGCTTCTATAATGGAAAGAGTAAACAGAGAAATACTAAAGGGCTAATAAGAAACTCTATAGCAGGTGAGAAAAAGTTAAAAAAAAACACCAATATACTTGAGAGAGATAGTCAGCAGGTAAGGCACTTACTTGCCTTATACATGACCGGCCAACCTGGGTTTGATCCCAGCATCCCACATAGTGCCCCAAGCACCCCAGAAGTAATTCCTGAGTGCAGAGCCAGGAGTAAGCCTGAGCATTACCAGGTGTGCCCCCCACCAAAAAAAAAAGGAAAAGGAAAAAAGGGTAAGGTACAGCGGCTATCACACATGACCCTGGTTTGACTCCCAGCATCATATGGTCCCCTCAGCCACCAATATGACAAGTATGGCTCTAGAAGCTACCAGAGTTCTTTGGGGGGCAAGGGGGACCCAGTCATCCCCATCACTGCAGGGTGCGTGCAGCTTCTCTTGAGAACCACTGACTCAGGTGGCTGAGAATTGCTGGTGGGGCCCCTGGTGTCTTCCTAAAGTCATTTGGAAGGCTCCCAAAAAGAAAAGAATGTATACATCAGTATAATTTTAGGAGCTGCTTGGTGATCAATAAGGTTAAACAACTAAGTTATATGAACTGTGAAAGACATCCAAAAAGAAGAAACTAAAATAAAATAAACTACATGCTTTTATGCTATAAAAAGTTATTAAAAATACTATGGTGTAGGGATTACAATATCAAGAATGATCAAGTGGGCAAGTATGGGCTTTGATGATTGTGAAGATTATAAAATATGTGCAATGTGTCAATCGTAATCAAGTATTACTCTGCAAAGGAGTGTTGATAATGGGGGAGATTAGGCATATGTACATGGGGTGGGAGTGGTGATGGGAAATTTCTGTAGCTTCCCAACATTTTTTTCCCTGCTATTTAATTTTTTAAGAGTCTTAATTAAAAACATTAAGTACCACCGTACCCAAAAAAAAAAAAAAACCTTCAAATATTTCTTTTTGACTTTTGGAATGGCAGTTGAATTAGAGCTTTAACACAAGAAAACAGTAGTGAAATATAGATATTAGATCTACATTTATTTACAAGTTTGTTTAATCAGTAATACGATAAAAAATTAACGGGGAAATATTTTACTTAGGGAAACCCTTCAATTCTAAAATTTGAGTATAAGAATTTTTTTAAACACTGATATTACCTGTAGGTAAGCCCAGTGTAAAGTATCTATCCTGACCGGGCTTGAACTGAATGATGCGATTACAGATGTACTTGGCTGCCCACTCACTGGCCAAGTCATAGTTATCAAGAATTACAAGCCTCATTATGGTGATGCACAGTTTCCAGGACGAGAAGTTAAAACCTGCAAAAACACCAGCAGAGAACAATAAGTCATTTACAGATAATCAAGCGGCAGTGTAATAGACGGATGACTTTTAAAAGGACATTGGTTTATAAAGACATACATTACAGTACAACCTTTACAGTCACAGTAACTGCTGTTTTCTTTTGAAGAAACCTTCAAAAGAAGTTCTTGAAGAGGTAGGCAGGTCATTGACAATTACAGATTATTCTTTACAACAATCTTCTATAATAAATATAATGGTTTTAGGTGACCAGATAGACTGACACAATTTCACTGTTTATGCAATAATTAAATGGCAAAGTCAGAACTAATGTCAAGACAAACTTTAAAAACATAAAGATACCACACTACATGTACAAGGATTTCATACAAAGCAACACAATACAAACAACAACAAAAAAGCAGTATTCATTTATTGATTGTAAATTAATGGTAGCAATAATTACTCAGCAACTTTTTTGTACTTAATAATGTCATTAAAAATAATAAATAAACTTCCCTGTCATTCGTATTCGATATGCCAAACACAGTAACAACAAGTCTCATGATGGAGATGTTACTGGGCCCACTCGAGCAAATCGATGAATAATGGGAGGACCATGACTGTGACCCTGTCATTAAATAATGTTTATTTTGTTTGCTTTTTGTCGTGTGATGCTCACTGGCAGTGCTTGGGGAACCATATGGGATACCTGGGATCAAACTCAGGTTGGCCACATGCAAGGCAATCATCCTACCCACTGTTCTGTTGCTTCAGCCATACATATGTTTTTATAAAAATGACACCTATAATTAAAATTCATTCAATGCAGAAAATTTTTAAAAATCCAGAAATAATCATCATTTGATACTTAAAATCAATTAATCATTATTAAACACTAATCACCTATGAATGATTAAATAGAAATAATTTTTATCAATGGGATATAATACACACTAATTTTAAAATGAGGACAAGAATTTAGTTCTTACATTCAATTAAAATAGTGCATTCAAGAAAATGCTGGTCTTTGAAGGAAAATTTTTTTTTCACAAAAAGCAAATTTAGGCTGGAACTACAATACAGCAAGATACATCTAAGATCTAGGTTTGATCCCTGGCATCCCATATGGTCCCCCTAGGCCATTAGGAGTGATGTCTAAGTGCAGACCCAGGAGTAAGTCTTGAGAACTGCTGGGGAATGGCCCAACAAAACAGGCAAATGAAAAAGGCAATTTTAGTTGCTAAAAAAAAAAAAGTAGATAAAAAAATATTAGACAAATACTAAGCAAGTAAGGGTCATTTATGAACTGCATGATTTCAGTTTGGGCAGTGCAGTTGTGGGAACTACATTCTTACACTTCCTCAAATGTGTAAATTTATGATTTCTTTTGAAATATATAATACAGTCTATAACCATGATTCTGAGATTATTTCTTAATTAAGGTTTGCGATATTAAGAACATCAGTTATTTTATAAGTGGCTTCAGCAGTACAGAAATTCTGTACTGTCACCCTTTACAAAGAGTAGTACGTGAAATTCTTAAAAGTAATGGGAACAGTAAGCTTCATTATAACCAATATATGGAATTTAAGATGATGTCCATAAAAAAAGACAACAATTTGAACTGTGACACCACAACAAAGAAATCATGATTACCATAAACTAGAATTCTGGCACGGTGACAAGAGATAAACAGAATGCAAACAGTAATTTACACTGTCAAAACACTGACATGGCTTCTATGTACATCACTAATTATCACAGAGCAGAAACAGTTTCAAATTCTAAGTCAACCAATCAAAATGCGCTGACTATTGAGGTGATCAAGATCATCTTCACTTCTCATAGGAATATTCCACAAGCTAATTACTGATTAAAAAGCACAATAAAAGCTATACAAGAGACCGAGGAGGAAAGGTGTTAGAACTTTCCAAGCATCTTCTATGTTCTAAGTATGCTCTTTTGCAGTTTAACGACTTGTAAGGGCCTATTAGACACCAAGCATCAAACCGGGTTCTACAGATACAAACAGATCAAGGAGTAACTAAAACGTCTTGGCATCGGTTCATAGTCTGCATCATAACATAACTTCATAGAAACTATCTCCCTCCGAGCCCCCCCCCCACCACAGTTAACGAAAACTGCAAAGGCTCTTAAGGGAGTATAAGATCTAACCAAAGAGCCATTCATGCGCCAAACACACCTTCGAAGCAAGAATCACTTCGATGCTTCCATCTTGTACTTTCCGCATTGCTCACTATACTTTTGCAATGCTCACTGGTGGTCCTTCGAATCAGGTGAAGTTTAGGGATTAAAAAAAAAAAACCTATGCAGTATCCTCATTACAAAAGAGTCGAGCATATCTCTCGGATCAGGTATTACAGGCTAGTTTTTTGTTTGTTTGTTTTTGTTTTAACAAAAAGCCTCTCCCCAGTAGGAAAGGACAGAATGTTTGGGGCACGTTTACTCTGATTTTTTCACCAGGCGTGTCCTCCAGTCTTGGCCAGGGCTACCAGAGCGACTGCCCTAGCCCCGGGCAATTCCCTGACTTGCAGATGTCCAGGCACTCAGGAAAAACCCAGCACCCGTCCCCTCCCCTCTCCGGGTGCTGATTCATCAGAGAGGTGCATCTCCCGAGAAGGGCGCAGCCAACCCCCAGCCCGGGAACTTCAGCCCTGCACGGGAACTTTTGCATGACTTAGGTGACAGCGAGTCTAGCTAGCATCTCCAGCTCGGGAGTCCCTGCTCCGGGCTCCAGTTGACACCACCATGCACTTGACCTTAAAAGGGATCCTGAAGCGTCCCGAACCCACCCACCCACCCAGGGATGGAGGGCGCAGGAAAGCGGGGGTGCGGGCCACCCAGACGCGCCAGTGAATCCCGCACGCCCACCTCCACTTCCAGCCTCCGGGGCGGGGGAGGGGGGGTGCAGCCTCTCCAGCCAGGTCCCAGCCGTGCAAAGGGGGGCTGCGGCGACGCGTTTGTAACAAGTGTCAGGCGAGGAAGCCTCCAGCGGGGAGGCCAGATAAAAACGCCTTTCCGGAAGTCCGATCTCCAAGGGGACAGGCGGCCAGGCAAGGGCGAGGACGTCCCGCGACCCCCGCAAACCTTCCCCCGGACCCCGGTGCTTGCTCAGTCACCGCGCAGAGTCGACCCGAGGGAGGCAAGCCCCGCCGGGGACCCGCCACAGTCCCCTCTCTGGACTCAGCCGCGAACCCACCTGCGTTTCCGATGCTGGCAGAGCCGGACCAAGCAACCCACGGCAACCTCGGAGCGGAGCAGGCGGGTGAGCGGAGCTCGGAGCCCCGGGACCCGGATGCAGACGGAGGCGCCCTACGGGAAGGCAGCGCGGCCCGCGGGCCCGGCGCATGCGCGGCCGGCGGCGGCCTCTCCAGGGATGGTCGGTCAGTTTGGGTGTTATTGCAAGCGGCTTACACTTGGGACTCCCTCCAGCGCCTGCCCAGGCCTTTGGTGGTTCCTCTTTTGTTTTCATCCCCAAGCTTGATTGCGGTAGTCTTTGGGGCTTATGAGATTTGAACTTGAAGGACTAAATTTAGCATGAAGTTCTAGAAGTGTAAGTTATGCTTATGCAGAAAGCATTACTTTCCTTGTCCCTGGCAATGATCATATGAATTTTTCTCTCCACACCGACCTGTTGAATGCAGTTTAAAAGAACACCGTCAGTCAAATGTCTTTGCTTAAAAAAAAAAAAAGTTCATGGGATCAGAGCAATAGTACAGTGGCTAAGATGTTCGCCTGGCAAGCATTTTGAATCTCCAGCATCCGATATGGTCCCCCAAGCACCGCTCCAGGAGTAACCTAGAGCAATGCCGGATGTGACCCCAAAGAGTACCCCACCCCCCAAAAAAGCCCATTATTATTTTTTTAAAAAGTTCATGAAAGTTAACTGATGAGAAAACACCATGTGTGCAAAAAGGCAAACACTAAAGCGCGGGAAATTTTTAGAGTACCTCAGTAACAAGGAAATTTTAGTGGGATGTGGGCTTGTAATGATTCATTCTTAGAAAGGGGTAGAGGATGCAGAATTAGCCTTGACTTGGATATCAGGTCTTTGTTCAAGAGGAGGAAGGAGGGAAGGAAGGAAGGAAGGAAGGAAGGAAGGAAGGAAGGAAGGAAGGAAGGAAGGAAGGAAGGAAGGAAGGAAGGAAGGAAGGAAGGAAGGAGAGAGGGAGGGAGGGAAGAGGAAGGAGGGAGAGAGGGAGGGAGGGAGGGAGGGAAGGAAGGAAGGAAGGAAGGAAGGAAGGAAGGAAGGAAGGAAGGAAGGAAGGAAGGGCAAATTTCTAAGGTAGCAGGCACTTAAAATAGGTTGGGTGACCTTAGCATATTTCTTTAGAAACACTGAAAATTCTATTGTAAGCAGTACAATCTGCCTACCAGCAAGGGTGATAAATGCTGTGGGCTGGAAAATAATATTTTGATCACAATTGCACAGTCTGCTAAGAGCTCACACTATTCATGAAAAATATCCCCTGCAGTGAAAAACATCTCCCAGAATAATGATTTTTTTTAAAAATTTCCTATCCTGTTCCTAAAGAACACCATGCTACCTCCTGTAGGGCTGGAAGAAACACTGCCTTTTATTTGAGAAAATTTTCTGCAAAAACAATACCACCTCCACCCAACATTCCCCTGCTAAAAGGCTATATATAATTTCTCCAATCCCTAACTTCAGTACAAACTGCTTTCTCACATTCTCACAGTATACTCAATAAATCTATTTCTCACTTGTTTCTACTTTAGCCTTTGTTAAATTCTTTTATTCCCTCTGACACCAAACCCATAGCCTGTAGCAACAAAGAGGTAAAGTTCTGTTTCCTTGGAAACTGCCAAGTTAAGAAATATTATAAATATTATGTCCCTGAACACCTAAATCAAAATTCTGCACCTGGAATGTAAATACAGCCTGCTTCTTTGGGTCAAAAATGATTCATTTGTTTATATTGTTTTGGTGTAATGGAAGGCTATGGGAAACCTCTCCAAATGGTTTCTTTTGGTGGGTTGGGGGGGGGGGGGAACTATGGGAATCTCTCCCACGCGGTGCTCAGGAGGTCCAGGGCCCCTCCCAGTATTCTTGACCGACTTGCTGGTAGTTCAGTGCAAAAGATGTTGTGGAAGCCTGGCAGAGCCAGGGAATTCCCAGACTGCATTCCATGAAAGATGTTTGGGAGATTGGCAGGGAACTGTAGTCTATGGTTTGCAAGGTGTGTACCTTAAACCCTATACACTCCAACCCCTATTTGCTTAGATCCTTTAGGTAAGAATGTTTTATTCTTAATCATTTGTTCCAGTTTCAATTATAAAACTTTAAGAAGCAAAGTACTTCATAATTGAATATTATAGGTTAACCTTTCTTAGTACTATAGTCTGAAAATTAGCATAATATAAATCTATATATCTCACTGTCACTGTCCTCCCATTATTCATAGATTTGCTTGAGCGGCCCAGTAACTTCTCCACTGTGAGACTTGTTGTTACTGTCTTTGGCATATGGAATAGTGTATATAATGTCTATATAATGTCTATATATAATGTCTATATGGATACACAATGGATATAATGTGTATGTGGATACACAATAGATATGTGTATCCACATACACATTTTATGTAGACACTATATACACAATATATACACTACATATACACATTGTATACACAGTATATATATTGTGTATACACATACACATATATACACATTATATACATATCTATATATTCCTAGTACTGTAAGTTTATTGTCTACAGATAGTCTCAGGGCTGGAAAGATAGTAAAATGGGTATGGTGCTTGACTTACACACACTGACCGAGGTTCCATCCCTGGTGCCACATATGATCCCTGAGCCTAGAGTCAGCAGTAAGTACTGAGCACAGCTCAGTGTGTCCCCCACGTTCCCCAAAATCTCTTAAACATCTACTGTGATTATAAATAGCTGTAAAGAAAGAAGCTTTGGGGATGACATTATTGGAGCAGTGAGGTCTATTGGTGAAACAGATTCTTTCTCACTATTTTTGTTTCTTGGGTTTCTGCTGCTAAAAAAATGTTCGGCCATGCTTTACATACAGGGTTGTCATGTTAATTTCGCTTTGGTTGTGCTATATTACCTCCTGTATCCTTTATCTCTCAAATCAGTGTTTCATACCTTTTCATACCTTTTCAACCCATACAAACAAAGAGAGCTAGAAAAAATAAAATTTTTAATATTAATATTAAATTTAATATTAACCAGAAATTTTTTTGGCAAATGCAGGGAAATGTAAGATATGACAATAATCTATCCATTTAAAAAATATTTATTAAGACCACTATGGACCAGACAAAAAGTAATAAAAACAGTCAAGGGATCTTTGTCTACAGTGACCTAAGAATCTTGTGCAGATATAGAGAGCACCAAGTAAATCCTGAATAAATTCAAATGCTAAGTAGTCTGGGCCAGGAAACTTAAGATATGTCTTTATATTTGGGAATGACCTGTGCATAAAAAAGTACCAAAGTACCGGGTCTTAATCTTCCAGATAAAGCCCCAAGCAATGATAAATTACTGAGAGATTTCCTGAGGGACCTCTGATTTGAATAGGTTTGGTTGAAAGTATCAGCAGGCTGTTGATCAGTCACCCTGGGAAGGTGGCAGGTACATCATTATCCTGGGAGCAGTAGGGCAGGAATGTGGCTATAGGTACAGGAAAATGTGCCTGATGACATCCCATTTCTGCTACAGGCCACAGAAGAGAAAACATGGAAAGAATGATACCCCATTTACCTAGGTAGCAGACAATAAAGTTGCTGACAGCCAGTTGGAAGTATGTTTTTTACTCAGTACATATCACATGCCTAGGCCAGTGAACCAAAGCTGTATAGACAGCACCAATGGGGAAATAAACTAAAGATCAAAACTCACAGGAGAATACTCATCTATTGCAATAGATGTCAGGGAAGAGGAAAAGACTGCAGAAGAGTTGCCTCAACTAATATAGACACCATAGCCACCACCCTCCCTTAGAATTCAGCCTAAGTGGCAGACGCCAGGTCTCATGGAACAAGGGAGGATTGGGCCCTTCTCCTTGCCCCAGTTCCAATGGGACTCTAAAATGACGCCACATACGGCCACTGGTTACTTAAGTTCTCACATGGCCATGATCCAGAGACACACAAACCTCGGAAACAAGCAACTTGCTGCAGTGATCTCTTCAGCCCCTAATTATTAAAATTTTAGAATTCCTAGAGCGCAAAGCCGAGACATTATATTGTATCCATAACTGTCACTGTCACTGTCACTGTCCTCCCATTATTCATCGATTTGCTGGAGCGGGCCCAGTAACATTGTGAGACTTGTTTTTTTACTTGTTTTTTACAATTGATTGTATTTGGCATATCAAGTACGTCACGGGTAGCTTGCCAGACTTTGCTGTGCGGGCAAAATACTCTTGGTAGCTTGCTGGACTCTCAGAGAAGGGTGGAGGAATCGAACCTGGGTAAGTCGCGTCAGCCACATGCAAGGCAAACGCCCTACCCACTCCAGCCCGTATCCATAACACTGTCAAACTGTTCTCCCATTGTTCATCAATTTGCTCGAACAGGTCCAGTAACAACTCCATTTTGAGACTTGTCATTACTGTGTTTGGCATACTGAACGTCACAGGTAGCTTACCAGGCGTTGCTGCGTGGGCAAGAAACTCTGGGTAGCTTGCCGGGCTCTCTGAGAGGGGCAGAGTAATCTAACCCAGCTTGGCCGGGCTGGCTGTGTGCAAGGCAAATGCCCTACTGCTGTGCTATCGCTCCAGGGCTTACAATAAGCAATACAAAACACATTGTCTAGTATTGCCTTTTTGGCAGGTATGAGTGGTGGTGGGACTGGTCTCAAATTATCGAAGGTAACTAACGTAGAGAAAGAGAGTATTGTGCAAATTGTCAGCCACACAGACAGGAGGAGGTGTGGAATGGGTGGGTGGGTGATACTGGGTATATTGGTGGTGGAAAACGTGCACTGTTGAAGGGATGGGTGTTTGGTGACTGTATGACTGAAGCTCAAACATGAAAGCTTTGTTACTGTACCTCATGGTGAATCAATAAAAAAAAAAAATTCAGCTTAAGTCCAAATTGAGGTTGTTTAAAAATAGGAAGATTCACACTTGAAATGACTCAGGAAACACTGAACTTGAAAAGAACCGATTTAAGTTTCCTGTTTGCTTGACAAAGAAATGGCCTTAAGGGAAAAACAAGTTAAAGTTGTATCAAGGAGACCTAGGAGATACCTCACTCAGCTGTCAGTGTTCTTAATCT